AATTTCATTAGATAATTAATAGCTGTTTGCTTGTGGGATCTCTTATTTTTTCCTCGATATCTGACTTGCGAGAATTTGGATTGTGTTATCTGAATTGTTTACAAATTTAATTGGCTGGAGATATAGATATAGGGTCAACTATATTGGTACCAAAATTTAATTCAGAATTTAAAGTGGTTGAAAATATAGATCTCTGTCCGAATGTGTTGGCACAAAAAAACTGTTCATATTCATTTTGCCTTTTTGGTTCACATTTGTGGAAAAAGGGGCCTCTAAAAGTTTTGAATTCTTATGTTGTGCTTTTGTTAGTTAATTTCTAATGAGGTGTCAGATGAACAGATCTAAAATGAGTGATTGGTTAGTGTCTAAAAGTTCGTTATTCCACTAGCAGGCTAATTTTGTTGGTGGTCGATTGAATTGGTTTTAGTAGAAACTCTAAATTAGCAACTCTTATAGTTCCACACAAATTTCTGAAAATGCTCAGACTAAAGTATATTTTGGAAAACTGCCACTTAGTTGTATACAATTTTATCAATATCTTACTCCCTCTCTTTTAATTGTCTTAATCTTGTTGCTGTACACTTCAGGTTTTTGTGTGCAAATAATTTTTCTGTTCTTTTTTGGCCTTTATAAGTTTTTATACTTGAATTTCTCTTTATATGGTTTTCATTAGTATTATCTACTACTTCATTTTTTCTTCACCTTCCTGTACAGAATGAATCTTCGGCGAGCTTGGAGCTTGATATTGAGCACTACGTTGTTCCAGCTCCAGCAACATCTGCAAATTCAGGTTTGGTTTATGCAGCTAACATGACAGAAACTCCTAGGTCACTGAGTCGTGTTGGGGTATTTTCCAAGACTGATGGCTCTAGTGGAGCATTACATCACCAGAAGGATAGTGGTGTTCCTGTTGACCGACCTGATTTAACGGTGTTGTTCTTTTTCTTATCTGTCATTCATTTATGATTTAAATGCCATAACTTTTATTTATGTTGTGTTATTCATGCTTCCCCAGCAAATGACAACCTAATTCGCAGAAGTATGGTGTTAAGACAGAATTAGTTCCTTTGCAGATTGTAGTCTTCCTTGGTATGGAGATATTGGTCGTTACGTAATTCTTAATTAAGGAAGTGTACCCTTTTGATAACCAAAATCTTTTACATGAAGTTGCAATATCACCAACTTCGTAGCAGTATGGTGTTAAGATATAGTTAGTACTTTGTTTTTTTTAAGGTTAATCTTTGATAACTAAGATATTCTACTTGCAACTGCAACACCACCAGATTGCGATTTTTGGGTAGAATGTGAACCTGTCAGGAAATTGCTATTCCTTTTCCAATACAACAGAATGATCACTCTGTTAATCCACTTGTTGGGAGGATGAAAATTGCCTGCTTTTCAAATAAAAACAGAACTTAAAAGTTATATATATATATATATATATATGTGTGTGTGTGTGTGTGTGTGTGTGTGTGTGTGATTTTTGTATTGGCCATTTATAGTGGTACTGTTGTGAACATACATCTTGCTGTCTTGGAACGTACTTATTTATCACTCAACAGAACTTGCTTCCATACTTTCTCTTGCCTTTCATATACTCACCACTGTAATATGACTCTTCTTTTAATCATCATTAACTTTCTACCAGGGGATGCAAGTCATTGTCCCAGACACAGCAAAGTATTCCTTAGCACCTGGCTTGGTTGAATCAAAGTCGTTTGGAGCCTTTTCATCTATGCAGAAGCAAGAAGGTCACAGAGGACTCTTTGTGGATAGGGGTGTAGGATCTCCTAGACTAATGAAATCAGCTAGTTCTTTTACTGTTGATCTCAAACTTGATTCCAGAATCCAAGGTTTGTGGGAATGCACACTGTTAACTCTGAAGAATGCCGAAAATATATACCCCGAATCTTGTTTTCTTATTCTTTTTTTTTTTAAAATCACCTCTAAGTTATTACTCATCGATTATTTCTAGAACTCTATGCCAGCTGCTGCAGGAGCTGTTGCAGCTGGCGCTGTAGCAGATCAGATGCTGGGACCCAAGGAGGATAGACATCTGGCAATTGTCTTGGTACTTGCACTATACACTGGCTTATGCTTGATACAAGTTTCATTTTCTCTTTCTGATGCTTGTCAGAAGTTATGATTGCATATTATATAAAGAGCCCCTTAAACATTGTTATGAATTGTTCGACTCCATGTCAAAATTTCTGACCGAATTTACGCGTACCACAGGTTGGGTTGCCTGCTCGTGGCAAAACTTTCACTGCAGCTAAACTTACGCGGTATCTTCGTTGGTTAGGTCATGATACCAAACACTTCAATGTTGGGAAGGTAATTGTTCTCGCATTGTTATTTCTTTTTATTCTTCATATGGGATTAGAAAAACATAAAGATGCATTGTTTTTTATTCTGTTGCAGTATCGGAGGTTAAAGCATGGAGTTAACCAGGTACTATCAGTTGGTGACATCTCTTCTCATGTTTTGTTGGATTGTCTCATTAAGCACCATTATTTAAGTGGTGTCAATTTCATTGTCCCTGTCTATGTGGAATATTTAATTTGCCAAATGTACCCTCCCGCACATTATTATTAAAAGGAAAAATGAGAAAAAAAAGAGCAACGACATAGAAATATGACTAAGAACACTATAGACTTTGTCTAGTATATTGCGCTTCTGCTGCACTGCCTCTTGCAAGCCCCTTGCGGCCTT